AACATTTTGAAAACGAAGCTTTTTGAAAATGATGGCGTCACGATAAGTTAATTATGTGATTTCCTTGCACCGATCGAGTTTTCCTAAAACACAAATCCAAAATGACCGGTAATTGTTGCGTTTTCAAATTTCTCAGGCCGGCGTTGTGTGGACGGAAAAGATTTGATGCGTTTTTAGAGTGAAAACACTGTTTTCAGATTTCTCCGACGTAGTGTTGGCAGGGCCTAATAAGTGATGTTGTTGTAGATTTTACAAGCTGAAATATCATTGTTTATAGAGTGAGGATGAAGCCCTGGCACTAGCAATACAAGCCTCTTTACAGGATCAGTCAAAGGTGAAGCCTCCCAGTCCACCACAAACAACACAAGAAGATGAAGACCGGGCTTTAGCACGAGCCTTGGCGGAATCTGAGAGGGAGGAGCAAAACAGGCGGCGAAGACAGGTATGTTTGTTACTTTTCAAGTGTGCTTGACACAGTCCTGCAACTTCTGAACGATTGGTAAAAAAATCGCGCCACTTTTTCATCCAATCAGAAGTAAAACCAAACGCGGTCGCACACATTTTCTCGCGCTTTGCGTCAGCTACATGTTATTACTTCGAATTTTGATTGGTTCACTGTTTACAGATTTACAAATTGAAAATTGCCCCAGACAATCCAGGGGACCAATCAAAACGTGTAACCAGACAAGTGTAGTCGACGCAAAGAGCGGGAAAACAAGTGTGAACCACGCATGATTGGATTTGGTTCTACTCCTGATTGGATGACAAAGTGGCGCGAGTTTTTTTAAGCGAATCGTGTAGCATAGTAATGCAAACCAAAACTTTGACACCTGGTCTATTCTGGTTTGGTTTTGGGAAGTTGAGACAGTCTCAGAAGAAAATAACTCCACTAATCTAATCTTCTTTCTTCACTGAATATTTACAGGAACAAGAAAGGAAATCAGACTGCCGTGTCACATAAACTTTCACCTTACGAAGATAACCTCAATGTGGAATCAATATAATTATCAATTTAACCAGCAGCTCTGGCTGTACGGCTAAAGGCTGGTTTCCATAGGGCCATTCCATTTAACATCCACACCCCCCTATTGATGAAGGTCATTTGACTGCCAACCCCCTAAGAAAAGATCAAAGTGCCGACACGTTTTTTTCACGAACCCTCAGAAAAAAAAATGCAAGGTAACCTTGTGACTGTCTAGAAAATTTAGATCTTCTCAATACTGACCCTCAGAAAATCTCAAAAGCGTCCTCGTGACCTTCGGAAATTTTCGACTTATTCCTTATACCCCCGGCTCAGAAAAATCTCGTCCAAGGACGGTGACCTTAAGAAATTTCGACCTTTCCTTCTACCCGTGCAGAGAATTTCGCCAATAGAGGTGGGGGTGGGGTGGATATGAAATGGAATGGCCCATAGATCACTGCGATCATTTCAGAGGACGTTGAGCGTTCCTAACACTGCCTGTTTCCATATGTTTGCTACGGTCGTTGCGATAGGACTAATGGAGGGACGAGTCGGTTCTATACAATCGCAATCGCAGTGATCGCTGAACTTTTCCTGCAGTGGCCGTATTGAACATAGCGATCATTTGGAAACCAGCCTTAGGACTACAAAGTGCAAACAGAATGTGAAACAATTGGAAATGAATTTAGGCTAATTTAGAATAGACA